CTCCCCCCACAGACCCGGTAGGATCTCTTTTCCCACCCCCTCCCAGCACCAAAGACTAGAGGAGCGGAAAGCACCCACCCTTGACCTTCCTCCCTTGGCATTTCTTGACCAGCAGGCTGGGAGGGACCAGGGGCTGCAGGCCAGGCTCATGGGCCCCGGCTGCCCCCCGCGCCCCGCCCCCGGCAGTCTGGCGTCCCCCGGCATCTCCCGGCGTCCCCCACCTCTCCTCTCTGGAGCCAAGAGCTCGGGAGACAGAATGCGGGGGTGCTGTCCTTCCTATCAGGGGCTTCTGGGCGACTCCGTCCCGCGTGACGGGAAGAGGGTGGGGTGAGGGCGTCAGGGCCGGGGCAGGGCAGGACCCCACAGGCTTCCCGCCCCCCGCCGTCTCTACACAAATAAGCAGTGCAGACACTCAGTCTTGCAGATCGCGCGAGGGATAAACAGGGCCAAATTTGGAAAGCTGGGGGCAAGGGCCAGAGCGGCAGAGGGCTGCCCCCTGCGAGCGTGGGACCATGGATTCGCTGTGCCTCAGTTTCCACTGATTCTACAATGCCGGGGGGCCCTGTTCAGGCACCGGGAGCAGGGTGGCCACGGCAGAGGACACATGCCAGGAGCAGCCAGGCCCACGCGCTGCTCTCTGCTGGGACACATGCCAGGAACAGCCAGGGCACGGACTGCTCTCTGCTGGGGACCTACTATGTGCAGCGGGCTCTAGGGAGAGAGCTTTACGAACGTGGCCTGTTTTCTGCCCACGACAAGGCTACGTAGCACACACCCTATTTGGGGTTCTTAAATAGAGTTCCTCATCCAAGGTCAACCACGCTGGTGGGTGGCCCTGGTCGGAGTTCCCGTCACCTCCCAGAGACTCCCAAAGCACATGAGTGGCCAGCCCAAGCACTGGAGATCAGGGCAGGGGCTGCTGCTTGCTGGGGACCTGCTATGTGCAGTGGCCGTCCTGCTGCCCTGGAAACTCAGGCTTCTGACCACGTTTCCCACCAGCGAAACTCTGGGAGCTGGGATTTCAGATGCGTGGAGTGGATGGGACAGGCCTGTCCCAGCCCAAGGATGACCCAGGCGGGTCTTGTTGGCTTCCAGGGTCTATCACAGCCCAGAGAGGAGACGGCCGTGGGTGTCTGAAACCAGGCAGGGAATGAGGATGGGACCTTCAGCAGGCAGCATGGCAAGCAGGCGATGTCCCTCCTGTCTCTCCTCCGCCTACAGAGGGACCCAGATGTCCCCTTGACAGCCCAGCGCTTTAGATGCCCTGCCAGCTGTGGTCTTCAGATAATTTGGGCTTGTTTGGGAGTTTTTTTGTTGTTGTTTTTCTGAGTTGGAGTCACTCTGTCGCCCAGACTGGAGTGCAGGGGCCGCTCCCGGCCACCGCAGCCTCGACCCGCTGGGCTCCGGCGATCCTTCCGCCTCAGCCTTCCA